GTGTGTGTGTGTGTGTGTGTGTGTGTGTGTGTGTGTGTGTGTTTAATCAGCTTCTTTAATATTTCATGCTGCAAAGTTTCAGATTTATGAAAGTTGCTGAATCTAATAACAGGTGTTTGAACTTACTCGAACGAGAAGCCATCAATTCTGAAAAGAAACACATTTATTAATCAATTTATGTCCTTTGAGATATTAAAAATGTGATTATTGTTGTGTCAGATGTACAGCAGCACTGACTCTGTGTTTAGTGTTATAAATAAGAAACATATCTGATAAATCCTCGGCTCTGTCAGGTCGGACTGTAAAGTTTAGGCTAACGCCACAGAAATGTTGCTGGTGTCTGTTTACTGTAATAATTTGTTACTTTGGGTTAAATCTTTTATTTTGATTTTTTGTGTGTGAAAATATGCCTTAAAGCCTCAATGTTTCTGAGCATACACAGTTATGCTTTGATGGATAATTTTACACTTTAATAAGCAAGTATGAGCTATAAATTTAATAGTTCCTTTTGTTTGTTTCCTTACTGGTAGTCGGTGCTGCTGCCCTTCCGTTTGCGGGTGTAGTCCATGCCAGGGGTGCCGATAGAGCTGGAGATGAGGTCAGTGGATCTGGGGGGCATGAACTCAGTCATTGTAGACGAGATGTCCATCCGTTGGTCTGCCATCAGGTCATCTGCAAAAACAAAACACAACTGATGGTTTTCCAACTAGCTGCAGCCTCTCTATAACAGAAAACATTTGAAGTTTGTAAAAATCCTGCATGAATCAATGAGAAAAGCTGAAAAAAACATTTAGGCGTTTACATAAATATTAGCAAAATACTTTATACACAGAAAACATGGATTTAAATCAGGTATAAAAGAGTAAAACTAGAGCAATATGTTAAAGGGAAAGTTGTTGTGTACAAAAATAATGAAAAACACTAAAAAAGAGATGAATTTGGAAAACATTGAACTGTTCTTTTGATTTATTWGACAAAAATCCCGCTCACCACAGATGTTCATCACAGCCTGTGTGTTAAAATCATCTCCTTCCATCCACTCTGGAGCCCTCACCTGCAGACGCACAAAATCAACAACAAACACAAAATATTGACCTCTGCAAAGTTCTGCACATTTCCAAGCCTACTGCTTCATGTTTTTGCGATAAATAAAAGCAGCAGATAATATTTAATAAAGCAGTTGTTTCTGCAGATTTRACCTGAACGTTGTGGACAAATAAAAAAAAGGTAGGTGTTGCAGCTATCAGAATACTCTGTTAAACACAGGATTTCATCATCAATTTAACAACAGCAAGGTGCTGCAGTCCTACGGCTGCAAAATGAGACCAAATCATCTCCCCTCCACCACCGTGCTTGACCATTAAAGCGTTTGATTTGCTGTAAATGTGCTTTGATACATTTATGCCTAAATTGTGTATTTCTACTTTGGACTGGTTGCAGTAACCTAATAAAAGTTTTGGTAAAGACTAAATCATTTTTCTTGTTTTTCCTAAGAACTGCACCATTTTCCTTTCACATTAAATTATAGTCCTACCAGACATCTGAGACGTGTCGTTTTAGTTCAACACTAATTTGAATATAAGACTTTTTAAACAATTGTGTGACTAAGTCTCAGACAATGATTGCATTCAGGACAATGCTGTGACCTGAAAAAACCTACAATAGAGTAGGGTTATTATTAAATACTTCTCTCTTTAAAAAAACAGGTTCTGTGGCTGTTGAACTAAACCCAGCGCTGGCATGACTCACATCCTGGGCCATGGTTTTACAATATTTTACTAATTAATAAATGACCGTGACATTTTAAGGATCATAACACGCAAGAGAAAAAGCCCAAAATATATAGATTTCATAAATTAACTGCAAGTGAACTTAAAAGAAAGTGTTTTCTGAATATTTCAGAGAAATAAGCAATTCTCATGTTGCACTTAATATCAYTTTGTACAGCGCCCTGACATAACTTGGCGCTTTAGAAACAAGCTGAATTGATATAAATAAAATTGATATTGCATTTGKGTGGGTATAAACACCTTGATGATGTCAGAGAGGATGACAGAAAAGCAGCAGCAGCTCACGTTACAAACAGGGTATCTRCAGGTTTTAACAAGTCAAATTTAAGACTTTTTAAGACCTTTTTAACGCCACCTTGAATGAAATTTAAGACCGAAAAAACTATAAATATAAGCGATGGTTGGGGTATTCTGCTGTTTACAACCAAACATMAYGTGTGTCAYTCAATAAAACACGTTGAATATAAAGATTTTCAGCTCTCTGGTTCAATAACTGCATTTTACAAGTGCAGTTATTTCATTGGAAACATCCAACAAAAAAAGACATCTACTAAATACATTCATGGCATGAAGCTTAATTGTGTCTTAATCTGCAGTTTTCCCTTTAATATTCCCAGAGACGGATGGAGGAAGATAGAACTTTAATCGCTTCTGCCTGACAAAATTTAAGAGATTTGAGTAATGTATTTAAGACCAACTTGAAAGTTTTTTTAAAAACAATTCAAGACTTTTTAATGTCTTAATTTTAAATACATGAATTTAAGACTTTTTTAAGGACCCGGGAACACCCTGAACCAAAATCTACACAACGTCATCACTGAACAAACATGTCTAACCTTGGAGCAGGWGGGCTACAGTAGGGCTGGGCGATATGGCAAAAAAATATATGATCACGATTAATTTTTTCAAATCGTCCGATCTCGATTAATATCACAATTTTTTGTTAACCTAAACTGTGACTGAAAAACAATTTAATAAATAAATAGCTACAGAATTTTTTTTTTTAAATGGCTGTTATTTCACTTTCACTAATATAACAAATAGCTACAGTTCAGTAGAGCATTAAATTATTTTTGCAAGGTGTTTAAAAAGGTATTTACAAAAAAAATTATGTTTAATTCATAGAATCTCACATTACCCTTTTGTAAAATTAAAGTTTTAGAATTGAATTTCACATTAAATAAGTCATAAAGAAACATAAACCCTACAAACAGCAACAATTTGTGCACACTTGCCAGTTGGATTATCATAGCTCATTACTTTTATTATGGAAGTAACCCCACCCCCTCCTGTTTACAGAGCTTTATCAAATAACGAACAACTCTATTGCATTTTTTCTGAAAGAATATCTGATTCTGCACATGACAAAATGTTGGATAAACTCCCAGCTTCTGAGTGTTCAGGAGTTTGCGGCGTCTCTCAGCTGCTGTTTGTGATGAGACTCAGAGAGGAAGTGGTCTCCACGTCTCGTCCAGCCCATCGTGTGCAGATAAAACTTACAGAAAAGTTCTTCTCCAGATAAATAAAGAACCGCTGGGACATTGGGCCTCATGCAAGAACATGTTCGTATTCTTATCCTAAATTTCTCTTACTTTTGTTCGTACAAAGGGTTCGTACGAACA